GTACAATTACTTGTGTCGAGTGCGACGCCACTATATCCATGTATTTGTATACCCTTGCATGTCCTTGCTTCTAATATAAGAAATTAGGCTGCCACGTCCTGTTATGTGTCTGCTTTGTAGAGACGGGAGTTCAGAACTTGACTGCCCCGTGCCAGACACTCCCTTGCGTTATAAATAGGCCCAGTCTCCGGATAAGTATTCAACTGATGATGTAGTATTGTTGCGTGTGACCTGTGATGTACGAACATGATAAATGTAAGGTCCTCATGCTGTATAGAAACTTGTAAACAAGCTGTCGGGTGGGTTAGTTCAGTTCGAGTTCCTCCTACCTGGCAAATGTGCACTACAATTTACATTCATAATGGTAAAGTTTAAACTTTGCATTGTGGGTTCTTCTCTGTGATGGAACAAAGTTTAAACTTTAGCATTGTGGATTCTACCACAGATGAGCTTTCTCTCAAATTTTCAAACGTAATGTAATTGTTCATTCTTGTTTTTTAGGAGCACTGAAGCAACACATATCGATAGAGAATAGTTTCTTTATAATCCCAGTGAAATACATGTACATGTATACTCGTAGGTACACCGCATAGGTGACTTTTCTGGAAGATGTCGGTGAACGTTGATTTTGCAATTGCCAGGCTTGTGGGTTGTATTCGAGAGGAAATCATTTGTCAGGAAGAGAGGCTGTTGAACAGAGACTGCTGGTATTTGGACAGTGCAATGATGTGAGATATAAGCGAACCAACAGTAACAAATGCAGTCACGAACCAACAGTAACGAAAAAGCAACAAGAAGTGACAGTTAATCGGCAGTTAATTGCATTCTGCGTCCTGGGCTGGATCTTTTCGGAAATCCTGCATTTCCTAATTACATCCTGTGGATTAGCTATTCCTTATGCATTATAAGAGTACACGAACAAGTTATTAAGCAGACAAGCTTTGTAAAAACAGGATTTAGTTGGCAATGCTAGAGTCTTCGTCCTTGCCCTACTTACATGTAATAACATTACATGGTCTCGATGGTAGCAAAGCTCAACAATTCTGACCACGCTTTGGCCGAGCTGCCTCTTTCTACACCATCAAAGCAGGTGGTACTCACTAAAATGTTTGCAGTCTACTCAAGTTTTAGTAAGGGATTTAATAATCTCTACCTTCAGTCTTCAGGTCCTAAGTCTCTATAATCCACGGGCACACGATGTTTGAAACTAGATCCGACAGTTAAATGATTTTTAAGGGATGGAACCGGTTATTGGTGCTTAGACTCCTGACGCAAGTTAGCAGTCATCTTACGGAGGCATTTATGGGTGTCTGCCAGATCCATGGAGTGCTATTACTCCAAAGTGGGGAAGAGATT